GATGCTCACTCGTGCAAAACAATGCAGGGGTGTTCTATGTGGTTGCTAAGGTGTTCTGACTGATTGTTAGTGTGTTGCTATGAGATTGCTAGGGTGCTCTGAGCGGTTGAAAAGACATATGTGGTTGTCTTTATGATTTTCTGGTCTATGATTCAGGTTCTTATTTCAAAGTCTGTGCAATTCATTTTTCTCACCCGCCAGGTGAAAATTGTAAGCCTGATTGCTTAGAAACGTAATAAGACACATCTCCTCAACAAGCTGCATGATTTGATGTATAATTCATGTCCAATTCGAGTTATGCACTGAAGTTAATAGTCATGGAATATTAATAATATTCCTGACGGGAGGAGAGATAACCTTGTGTGACCCTAAAATTACTTCTCAGAAGGTTAAACTAATTAGTTTCATACAGTCCATGACAAAACAGCCAGAATGTGATTATAAATATTATAAATCATGTTCTGGAAAAAATACTTCTCTCTGAATGTTGCCCTTTAAATTAGTAACACAACCGAATTTGCATGAATGTGGCACAATCTGTCAGAACAATAAAACAATAGTACTATAGAAGATTCATTCTCTGTGGAAGTTGAGGTTAATAAAACCACCAAAAAGGTTTTATTAAAAATTCTCAGTGATGAGAAATTCATTGTAGCCTATCCTGTTTGTAATAATGTGTGTGGGTTTATTAAGCTGCCTATAACCAAATGTTAGTTAATTCTGTCAAAATGTACCTTTGAGGATGTCCCCAAAGGTAAATATTATTAATATTTCATAAATTAGGCTTACTTTTTCTTGTTTTTGTCCTTATTGTTCCCCAAGTCTAAGAATATATGTTTAAAATTGGCTAGTGTGCTAAGAAAAATGTACTTAATTCAAAGTACATTCTCTGAAAACAATATTTGTATTGGACAACAAATTTAAGATTGAAGAAAATGAGTGATTTGCAGTTAAATTTTAATTAGTTTGATATAAAAAAAGAGCATAAGTGTATGGTATGTCCTCATTTCAATAGCTAGGTAAAGTGTGTGAGTGTGTGTGTGTGTGTACAGAGTAACCTCAGGTGTTCTTGGCCCGTCATTGGCTGTCTGTTGAGTTTAGTGTATGCACACTGGTGATGTCAGTATGTCCCCACTAGTGGCCTCAATCCTGTCTACCAGAAAGCCACACTAACAGAACCACACAAACACACACACAAATGAAAATGTCAGTTCTGAAAAACCTTTTCAAAGCCTATTGTTCTCTGTTTCAAAATGCCAGCTAAAAACTGCAATGTGTTCTGAGAGTAAATGGTTTTTGATTTTAAGTCAGCTAGCACTGCGGGACAGTCATTAAAGCATTTTTTGTAGTGATGGTGCTGCAATATAGAAACAAAATACTGCAATCTGTTCATTCTCTCATGGAAGAGAAAATGGTCTGTCAGTCAATATGTGGATCTGTGTATGAGTTTCAGTGTATAACCTATTACTGTGAAATTACCAAGGTTCAGGAAGTGTTTGCTGTACCTGAGGGCACTCTGATAAAATCACATGTAATCATGTTTCCCAGAGACAGTACACAAGCTAGCCAATGCTGTCTGACCATGGTTAAATGATCTGTCTACCTTCTCTCTACCTGTTCTGTCTACTGGATGGAGGATATACAGTGTAACCTTTGTAATTGAGGTCATAATGAAAAATATATCTTTTTTTTAAATCTTTTTTTCAAAGCATACGTGGCTCTGCATTTTACATATTTTACATAATTTTACATATTTTGCATAAAAGTCTTGAAAGCAGAGAAAGAAGAATCTTTCATTTCAAATTCAGAGAGAGGGTGCAACTTGGTAATGAACAACAAGATAATGTTTTAAAAACCAAACTCACTGAATCATGCCCCCGACCTTTACTTTAATCCCTAAATAAGTGATTTTCCTTCTTTAAGAGCAACTTCAGGTTTAGTAAATGTTAATAAATGTCTCAGTAAATGTTACGCAATTCATTTTAAAAATTTTAATTCGTCAATAATCCTATGGAAACTTGTCAAATCATAACTAAATGTATGAGATAACCCCTCCACGGTTTACCAAATGGTCACTCAATTCTTGAGGAGTTTCTGGAATAAAAGAGTCTACTTCATGTTTTCATTTGACAGACTTACTGTAAGAACGTGAACTTAGCTGGGCTATGATTTTGCTTGATTATCAATCCATCTTCAGTATTCTGTATATTTTTGTGTTGCTACATGGTGAGACTGTCATATTGCAATGACTCGGGGAGTTGCTAATGAAAAGGACCCTTGGAAAGCCCATCTCAGCAGTCCCACGACACCCCTGCAGAAAGTGCAAGCTTGCATTTACCCCTGCACCTTAATGAGCTCAACCTCCCCAGAATCGATCCTGAGAGAATCAGGGGAATTGGATTGAGCCACGGAGAAAAGATCAGCCTAGTTGGAACCACGACTCTATGACTAAATACTCATAACGCTGACTATTGCAAACTTGTAAAAGCGCCTCCGAAACTTATTGTGAAAACCCACAAAACGTCTATACTAAACCGTTTTGCATAGTGGGTGCAGGGCTATATTGCAAACAGAGGAAATTGCCATTAGAATTAAATATTAATGCCAAGAGAATTGATTTTTGTGGATTCACAATACCCCTAACAAAGGCTTGGTCTGCAAAAGTTCAACATCATCATACAACTCAGCCAAAATTTAGGAAATAATGCAAGGGGGCTCAGAGAAAGTTGGGAGTTACTGGTTCAGGAATAGAACAGAATGTCAAAAGTTGTTGGGAGCTGCTCTAGAAACCTCGGATGACTCTGTCTCTTGCCACCATCTGAATAAAAAAGCATCTTCACCTCCTCCATCTGCTAAAGCAGTCCTCAAGACCTTATTTTTGAATGGGAAACCCTATGCACTTGCCAAATTCATTCCCCCAAAGCACTTCCGCCGTCACCTTAACTATGTCTCTCCTCCACACATCTAACTGCTTCATATAGGATCTCATCCAATGATATATGCTGGATGGGTGTCAGAAGTTAGAAAATCATTGGTCAGACTCCACTACAGTCTTCAGAATGATAGGAATCTTCTATCTTGAATAATGTATTATCAGTCTCCAGTATGATTATAGCAGGCCTCTGCTGTCTTAAAGTCAAATAACATCAACTGAGGAACAGCAGAGGATCATATAATATCAGAAAGAAGCTAAAATAAACCATCATGTGCCAGTCATACAGAATGCCTGGTGGTTATTATTTTTAATGGTACAGGACTCTCAATCATGTGTAGTGTTACTTATCATTTAATAATACACGCATTAACATATACAGTGCTCCCAACAAGCATTTAAACAATTAAGTCACACTTAAAAATGTATGAATACTATTGAATACCAAGCTGCATCTGCAAACTTAATCAGCAAACAGACTGAATCTGTACTAATATGTTCAAACATATTAGTTTAGAAAACTGCTATAGACCAAAAGTGGTCTGTCTGTGTTTGTGAGTGGGCTAACATGCTGCCATCGTATGTGTTTTGGTAAGGGTGTGTTGGTTTCAGCAGGGCAGGTAGTTTGGGAGAGGAGAAGGTCAAAGGTGGAAGAGGAGGCGAGGACAGGAACGGAGACAGTGAGCAGTGCAGTAAGACAAGCATGGCTGCTGACCCAAACCCTGACCCTGAGCTCTTAATTTAGCTCCTGTAAGAGACCTAACCCTAAAAAAAAAACACCCAGTTTTGTGGCTTTTAGTCCATGTATGTTAGCTCTGAGGCCATCTACTGTATATCAGTGGTTTTCAACTCCAGATCCCAGGACACACCTCCCAGAATGTTTTAGTTGTCTCCACTACTTCCATTACACATGAGTTGAATCAGCTGTTTTAATTAGCAAGCCATCTAAAATATTCTGGGAGGTGGTCCTCAGGACTGGAGTTAAGAAACACTGTCGGCAAATTTAAATCATAACATATACACAGACTTTCTCTTAAATGGACCAAAAATATTCAAAAATATAAGATAAAATAGCTTATAAAGAATCAATATGCAAGAATTTCAATATGCAATTTATAAAAAATAAAATACTGTTTTATTAAAAAAAAAATAAAAATAAAAAAAATTATATTCTATTCACAAAAGAATCCTGAAAAACCTATACACAAAAATATTAAACAGTACAACTGTTTTCAACATTAATAATAAAAGAAATGTTAAAAGTTCAGCGTGGCTGCTAAAAATTCAGCTTTATGTTGCTTTGTTCCTCCTCTTCTGTAAATAGCTTTGGATAAAAGCATCTGCTAAATGTATAAATGCAAATGCTATCATAGGGAAAAAACAAAATATTAAAATATCAAACATGGTAATAATATTTCACATTATTACTCTTTTTTTTTTGATAAAAAATAATGCAGCCTTAGTGGGCATAAGAGACAAAAACATCAAAAAATACTATCACCCCCAATATAATCTAATATTTATGATTTATCGCTGATGTACCTCATTTCTAAGTTCGTTTATATTAAAAATTGCTAAAAGGAAAAATGTAAATGTAATAAAATGTCTCCCAGGATTAAAATCTGGATGTGTATGTACTGAACAGCAGCCGTCTGTGTTGGACGGGGTGGGTTAGAGCCAAAAACAAACACAACAGGAGCCGAGGAGTTTATCGAGTGAGGCAGCAGGCAGGGGGGACACAGGATGCACACAGGATTATCAGGAGAGCAAGGTCTCTCTCTGTTCCTTTCCCCTGAATCAGAGGCCCATGGTCAGAGCCGCCACTGGGGCAAGAATGAGACCACGTTCCTCAGCCAGACTGCAGAGAGTTAGATGGAATATGAGCTGTGAACTTCAGATCTAAGTGCTCCAACTGCCCTGGAGTTCCCATAAGCCTCAAGGGAAGACAAAACAAAGGAACTGTAAAATCAGCAGTTCTAGCGGTCAAGTCTTTAGCTGTGGTCTAGCTCTGTGCAGTCTGTCTGTGTGGTACTGTTCTTGACCCAGGTGCTGATCACATGGCACAAACCTGCAGTTGGAGGCGGGGCCCGGCGTGGGGAGCACAGGGCAAGTTCTGACGGATGAAAAAAGAGAGGACATATCAGTACACACCTGACCATGCTGCCACATCTGTCTCTCTCACCTTATTACAGACTGTATGAGCACACACCTGCAGCTCATGCTATGCACACCTCATATACCGTTTCCAATATCATAAAGAATATGAATACAATTTAAAGGTAAAGTGTGTCATTTCTGGCGCCCCTAGTGGTGACAGTTGGAATTGGAAAAATAATGCATGTTACCTATAGAGTGCTGCAGGAACTAGTCCTAAAACTCAGTGTTAGCATTTCAATTACTTCAAGTTCCATCGTCTGGAAGTCAGTGTTTTTTTTTTTATTAGGGTAAATGTCTTAAATAAGGTCTGTCATTAACAAAAACTCAAGATAGTCTCACGTTTTATTCTATGACATAAAATACGTTACCTACCTTTTTTCAGCTTTTACTAGTCTTGAAAAAGGCTAATAAGTGGCTAAGCGGGACTACATAAACATCATCATGACAAACATAAAAATAAATCTACATACTGCTTTTACTCACACTCCTGCAAAGTATTCTAACTCAAACGTTCTCAAACTTCTTTCTATTTCAAAATGTGTTATTTATATTTGGATGTCATTTATTCCTGTGATGGCAAAGCTGAATTTTCGGCATCATTACTCCAGTCTTCAGTGTCACATGATCCTTCAGAAATAATTCTAATATGCTGATTTGCTGCTCAAGTAACAGTTCTTTTTATTATCATAGCTGAAAAGGGTTGTGGTGCTTAATATGTTGTGGAAACCATGAAAACATTTTTGTAGAATTGTCACATGGAAAAAAATGACACACTTCACCTTTAAGTAAGATGAGCCAGTGAAAACATTCTCAGATCCGAAACTATGTTGATGCATCCGACCCCATCTGAATGGGTCACTGGAGTCGAGAGCAGTCAAACCTCCTAACTGACATTTATCAAACATGGCACCTCAACACTCCAAGGGCACATGCGCTATTCTGTAACAGTCAGGAGGAATAATGAGCGCACCGGGCTGGGCTTGGCCCAAAAATGTCTGGGTGAGTTGTGTTCTGTCCTGCCTGCAGCTAAAGGTGACCTCTGCGCTCTGAGTGGCTCCGTGAGTAAGAAACATGTGACCTTCAGCGACGATGTTTGGTCAGGAGGAGCTGACGGACACTTACCCTCGGGCCGGTATTGGGCGATGATGGTTACTGTCTGGCCCGCTCCTTTCAGCGCAGCTGCAGCTTGTTCGTGAGTGGCACCTCGCAGATCGATTCCATTAACCTGAAATCAATCACAACAAAGGTAGTTACATCAATAGCATCTAACTGTGAATGATGTTTCATCAATAACGCTCACCAGAAACATGAATTAAATGATCAACAAGGACACAATGACTGTTTGATAATTTATTATCGGTAACAAAATACAAAGCATGTGATAATAAAAGCTAATTCATCAACTGACCTACATTGATGTCTTAAATTGTAAGCATTAAAAGGGCAGCAATACTGTTAGTACTATTAAAGCTCTCTAACGAATTCATTTTTTAAATTGCTTGACTCTCAGTAAATGAGGTATCTTTCAGCTTGGAGTGATCTGGCACAAGAAACGCCTGCTATGATCCAGGCGCACAGTTCTTCAGCTCAAGAAAAGCCTACAGTAGAGGATCAGTGGGCGGCAGTACCCTGTAGGCCAGAGTCTGCAACAACTGGACCACAAAGTAATCAGTGTTCCTCCAAAATATGAGTTTGGCTCAGTTGTGTGCATCATCTGTCCAATTTGAGCCATCGAAAGTCAATGTTCAAGCAGGTTGGGAATTGCTGTATACTGCTGGCACACAAACCTGGAGCAGGTGTTGCAGCCAAATTGCTGGTAAAGTTGCACTAATTTTTTCTCATTTAAAGGTTTTGCACATAAATAAAATAATAGTAATTGTGAAAAATCTCTATTAAAATTACATGAAGACTCCAGTCAAATCAGTGGCCTAAAAACTGTTTTATGGTGGCCAACATGTTGAGATTACACGATCAGGCAAATACTATTTCTTTTATGTATCCCTCCATTACTGGACACTTTAACTTGTGGAATAAATGAATCATGGTTGACAATGGTTGTAGTCCTTATGTAGCAGCTTGTTAGCAACAAACATTTTTAAGCACACAGCAGTTTGAGGTACACCACAATTAAAAAGTTTGGGCTCTAAAAGATTTTTACAATGTTTTTTGAAGAAAGCCTCTGAACTAAATGCTCACCAAGGCTGCATTTATTTGATCAAAATACATTAAATAATAAAGCAATGTAAAGTAATATATAAAATATTATACATTTTTTAATGATATTTCTTTCAGGATTTTTTGATATATGGAAAGTTGGATGGAAAAAAAAACCTACTGGAAATAGTAGAATAGAATAGAACATTATAAAAATCATAGAAAAAAATAATACTGATTTCAAACTTTTGAATGGTAGTTTATGGCTGTGCAATTTATGTTTCAAAACAAAATGTGAAAATATCTTCAAGTGATGAAGTAATGTTAACCATAGACCTTATGCTGCTCATAAACTGAAAAATGTCAACTCTCCTTTGGTGTTAAATGTTTCTACAAATGTTTCTCAATGCCTGATTGACTCAATGCCTGGATAACACTGTGACTTGCTGTTTTAGCTAATCAAATGAGCTTTTCTTAAGTGGTTAGAATTATATTAAGCTAGCAGGCTAAGTTATTACAGCAGATTACTAATCGAAGGCTAAGTGAATTTTTTTTTAAGTAATGTTACATGTAAATTAAAATACATTTACATATTTTCACGATTAAAACTAAATGACAATTTTTTATATATTTCTAATTAGTTTCAGCCAATGGAATCTCTTTGGGGTCCAGGATGGGGTCCGGTTTCTGCTGGGGGAACCGGATCTGGAGTGACACCAGGTTTAGGAATACAAACAGAAGAAGTCAACATGAGACTACAGCGCAGTGGGAAGGGCAGGTGAAGTGTGTGTTTGTGAGTCTCAGCACACATGCAGCGTGTCCTAACACTCATTTAACAGTGTGAACTCAGAAGGTACACCACAGCTATTCTTAGACTCCAAATCAGGCCAGCACTCCATTATCTCTTCCCTCCCTCTCTATTTTTCTCCTCTTACTTGTTCTTTCTTGCTTTTTAATCAGTGTCCTAAGGAGGCAGACCATGATTGCTCTCGGCTCAAGTGGCACCGAAAGTAATTGCGGCGGGGATCTGGATGGAGGGGTCTGATTACGACCAGCGAGTCCTGATGAAGCTCTGATAAACATAAATGATGAGATCAGCGACAGGAAATCAGCTTGGAGAGCTTCTCGAGTGGATCGCTGATCTGGATTGTTTCAATGAGAGCTGTAATTGCGCTGTCAATTAACACGTTGCAAAAAAAGTTACGGCACTGTGTCTGTGCCAAAAACTAAAATTATAATGAAAAAAAAAAAAACCTGGTACTGGTGGAGTTTTGAGTGGTGACTAGACAAAAAAAAAAAAAAAAGTGTTTTCAGTACAGGTTTGGTAGGGTTCACAGAGATGTGATGGCGCCACCTCCTGTTCAGTACAGGTTCTGCACAACTCTGGGAATTGTATATACCAATTTGAATAACTACCTAAAACATGCATGATATTTGTTCAAATTAAAACATAATAACTATAAAAAATTAAGAAGCATTAAAATTACTCCAATAAACATTTAGGTATCTTTAATCATGGATGCCCATGATTAGAGGACCTAAATGTAAGTTAAAGATATAAGGTCATTTAAAAACCTAGATTTATCAACTACTAATTTGAATATTAAGGGAAACGTGTGCTTGTTTATGGTGGTTTACATCCTTGTTTTTAACATAGAAAAGCTAAATATGACATCTATTAATTACCTAACCTTAATAAATGCTAAACCAATAAATGTCTGTTTACAGCAAACATTAAGATTAATATACCTTATTATAATCGCTGCAATATTATTTAGCCATTTTGCCCTCATGTATACAATTTATGTATTTGCAGGACGTCCACTTACGGATAGGATCTGGTCCCCTCTCCGCAGCTCTCCGCTGAGGTCTGCGGGCCCTCCTGCAAGTATGAAAGAAACAAAAATGCCTTCTCCATCTTCTCCTCCTACGATGTTGAAGCCCAGTCCAGTTGAGCCCTTGTGCAGAACGATCTTCCTGGGCTCCCTGTACACACAGTTCAGATAATACATCAGCTCAGAGTCCGTAGGGCTCAGCATCTCCACTGACGCGCGCTACGCTACTTTGTAAACATACACATGCAATCTACGCGTGCACACACGCACGCATCCACACTCTTGGGTCGGTCCAAACGGTCTACAATGTAGACGAGCACAATAGCTGACACCTATTGGGGACTGCTCCACTTATGTGCTATTTGTCCCATTTCCGCCCGGTTTCCTAGAAACGGAGAAGACGCACCGCCTCACACACACACACACACACACACACACACACACACACACACACTTTCTCTCTCTCTCTCTCTCTCATACACACACAGTCACTTCATGCTGTGTATATATAGTATAATTTAAAATAAAACAAAATTAAGAGTTTTAAATGTCAGTATAACATGACTGTAAAATTAATTATAATGCCAAACAAATGGCAAAAATATTACTTTGAGTTTAAATCAGATTTTGAATCAGAAGCTGTGCTGAAATGCGTTACAGATTGTGTTAAAATGATCCCAAAAAGTCTGATCCACTTAGCTTGGGCCCTTTCAGTTAGTCATAGGATCCTGACAGTCGGTGCATCATCCTGTCAAGTGTGACCAATCAAACCAAGAGATATCTTGAGCTGTGACACTTCTGTCAGATACACTTGAAATGTGGTGATACACAATCTCCTGAGTTTACAGATGATAATGCAAAGAGACGAGACCCGAGATGGAGCTATTTTAGAACAGAAGGCTAATCCGTTAGTGCTGTCTTCTCTCTGACCTAGTTGTGAGGAGGAGGCAGGCCCTTCCTCTCTCTCTCCATCACTTCATCTCTCTCCCAGTGCGTCTGCTTGGCTCGCCTCGGAGTGATGATGCTCTTCAGGCCATAAACAGAAACTAAGCCAAGCTGCATCCCATGAAATGTGAAAACACTTTGTGGGCATAATCATTATATTTTAAGAGCTTTTTTTTTTTTGGATTGGCTACAACGCGAAAAATAAAACTGTAGCAGAACACACAAAACAATGGCACTAGAACCAAACAGAAGGCTCTGCCAACCGGTTGCATCAGCAGTTGATCAAACCAACCAATGTAATCAGTAAGTGGTAATCCTGATTGTGTCAGTAATCCTGTTTTTCAGAAAATCAGTTATGACTGCTTGGCCAATGGTAAACAACCTAATTAATATTCATGAGTCAGACTGGCAAGGCCTCTGGCTACCACTCATCAGTAAGATCAATGATAAGGATTTTTCTGTTTTTTTTGTTCAGGACAACTATGGCATACGTACTGAAAAATATTTGGTGTAGGATTTACTTCATTTACTTAGAAATTGCTAGACCTTGCTATCCATCCATTCATCCATGATTTGTTGGAGATGTTTTCACGTACAGCAAAATTATAAAAGGCCACGTCTTTCACAATGTATAACAACTTACATCCTGCCTAAAACTCTGCAACAAAATACATATCGGATATCAATAGACTGCATCCTCTTGGAGGAAATATCCACTTACACTCTCTAAATGTGTGGTTTTGGTGGCTATTAATACAATGCTGCCTAATACATTCACCTTTAGTCTATAAATTGGATACATCAGAACAAGTTCATCAGATATTCTGATCTTATGATCAGTCTGATGCTATGGAAATAGAGCTCACATGTTTATCAGTACCCATTAGATAAATAATGCTGCCTATTGTTAATAAATGAGTGCAGCTATGAACGAAAAATGCATGACCTGCAAAGACTTTAAGCAAAAGAACAGCTCCTATTCTCTTTGCACATTGTAATACAGCCAGGATGTGAACATGGGCTATTTTACCACTAGATGGCACCATTTGTTCACCCATAGAATCCAGAAAAAACTGAATCTAGCCTGAATTCAAACTGCACACTTCTACAGAAAGCAACAAATTCACACAAACAACTCTCCATATTTGAGAATCCAAAAACAGGCTTATTTTAGTTTCATGCACAAAAGTTTAACTGAACACTGCTCAAGCTATTCAAACCATGTTGTGCTTCAGGATGAGGTATAAAACCATTAATGTATGCGTAAGGATAATTGGGACAACTGAAATGTCACACGAGGCTATGCAATCGAACAACTAAATCTGTCTTTACACTGCAAAAGCAGCACAGAAAAGGTGAGCTGCTGTCAGACTATTTAAATGAGGCACAGAGGTGGCATATGTGCTGATTGCCAATTGTCTTGCACACATAGCTGACAGAAGACAAGACACATGCTGACTGTCATGACAATGATAAAGTGTAAGGTGGATCTGATTCTATTCATCTTAATCAGGTCCATTTAATGGTGAAAGTGGAAGAAATTAGGATGGAAATAAATTATTACTCTAAAATTGTATATAATAATGCTATGACTGATAAAAATAATATTAAGATTACAGTCTGCATGAAACAGAAGTTGATAAAGTCATAGACTAGATATTTTTTTTTTATTATTTTAAAGATGCTTTTTTTAAGATTCCGAAGGCACATTAATAAAAAAAAAAAAAATAATCATAAATCATTTATAAGAAAGCAATATTTTAATTTAAAAAAATCCAATTTTAATTGAATGAATAACAGCCACTATTTATAAATATTGATTTTTGGATAAGTATTTTGTTTTCTTAAAAAAGTAAAAGTAAGTTTTTTCTTAAAAGCTTAAAAGAAACACCCGAGCCCTGCATTATTCTAGTTTATACAAACACAAATTGCAGCTTATCACTCAGAGAAGCATATGTGACAGCTGAGGACTCATGCTGATACTAATGATATGCTGATCATTATGTATTTGATACCGCATATAGATTTATTTTGAGTAACGGCTGGCTTAGAGGTGGGTTGAGTGCTTGTAGCGCCCCGCCGGCTGTAACCACCCTCATTAAACTCTCTCAATCTTTTTTCTTCACTTACATTTCTATCCTCCAAACTTCTCCTCCTCTCTCTTTCTCTCCTTCATCCCTTTCTCTCTCTCTCTATCGGCTGCAAAATGCTGATAGAGCTCCTGTCTGCCTCCCCCAGCACCTCAGTCTCAGATTACAAACAGCTACTGTTTATCATTTCAAATTCAGAGCCAAATGGGAAAACAAACCAAATAGATTACACTTGTTTTCAATTCACAATACCTGAGGAGGAGAGGGGCAGATTGGCATTTCATATGCAACCCCTCACACATCTTACCCGCCACCACTTATTCACTGTCATTACACTTGTTTTCAATTCACAATACCTGAGGAGGAGAGGGGCATATTGGCATTTCATATGCAACCCCTCACACATCTTACCCGCCACCACTTATTCACTGTCATCCTGTGTTATTCTCCCTCCCTTCTTTCTCTAAGCATTCTTCCACTGTAAGAGCATTCTGAATATGAAAATGTGTCAGAAGCCTCATCCACATGAAATATAAGCTGTCGTTTCTAATGGGTTGGCACGCTACGCTCCTGTCGGATGGCAAAATAACCACTGCCTTTCAGATTCAACCTCAATAAAGGAAAAGAATGGCAGAGTACCTATGTAATGACCCTCAGCCTTGAAGAAATGGGCTGAAAGCTAAAAGCTGCATATTTCAGCACTCAACAAAGGAAAGGAAAGGACGTGACGTGTGGCCAAGTATGGTGTCCCATACTTGGAATTTGTGCTCTGCATTTACCCCATCCAAGTGCACACACAGAGCAGTGAGTAGTAAACAAACACGCACACACACCGTGAACACACACCCGGAGACTCGAACCCGCAACTTCTGGGTTACAAGTCTGACTCTAACCATTAGGCCATGACTGCCAAAGCAAGGAACACCTTAATGAATTCTTGTTCTTTCACACTGCCTGGACTTGGTAACAAACTGTTTAAACGTGTGCTGTAAAGAGCATTAATCCCATTATACGTCATCTATTGGATATACACATCAGCAATGCAGCTACCATAAATATTATTGTCACTCTTCTTCTGGGGGTGTACTCACACCGAGCCCGAGTGTGATTGCCCCCCCCCACTCCCCCGCACTAACCAGCCCGGAGCACACTTACGTCATTATGAATGAATGAATGGTGTATTGCTGTACAGCCAAAGCAACAATCACAATCATTTACCATCATATGAGGGGGTCTCTCCTCAACCACCACCAGTGTGCACCATCCACCTGTTAACTTTGTGGTTTATTATTTTGAGTCGTTTGGGACGTGGTGACACACAGCCCTCTCACAATATATTGCTTAACAGATCTATCGCTTTTGCCGCTCAGAAATTTTCACGCAATCGTGCTGCACATTTCCAGTTCTGCGCTCGGGTGCAGTTAGCACTCACCCTACATGCGTACCGCGCCCGAGCCCAACTGAACCGTGATCTGGCCCACCTCTTCCAAGCGCGCC